TAATTTACTAATATAGATTCAGCCATGATCCATCCCTGCCCTTTGTCAAGCTCAAGGTTATAAAGTAGTGATACCATTAGAGGTGTGAAACAATTATAAAGTAGCAAATGAACATCAAAGTTATGCATACCAAACTATATACATTTGGTCTCTTAGCATGAGATCTAACTATAACAAATAATCACTGGATGATTATCATGTATTGCTGGTGTGAGAGAACATCATGATCAGTATCTATCTTCTAAACCCTCAGGAATGGTCAGAAGACCCTCTTGTCCTCCTAGAACTGGCCAACCATCAACACCCCAGATACATGTGAGCAGGTTATCCGTTCCATGATAACATAAACAAAGTTCACTATGAAGTGTAAATCTTTTTTTTTTTATTACATTTCCTATTGAAGGCTATCAAAGACTTTATTAGGGGCTGTAATCATTCTACAGGTGACATAGAAAGCCCCATGAAGCAACACAGTGGTGTAGTGGTTAGCATTTCTGTCTTGCAGCACTGGTGGTCCTTGGTTCAAATCCCGGCCTGGTCACTATGCAAGAAATTTGCATGTTCTCCCTGTGCTTGTGTGCGTTTCCTCCGGGTACTCCGGTTTCCTCCCACACTTCAAAGACATGCTGGTAGGTTAATTGGCGCCTGTCTAAATTGGCCCTCTATGTATGCATGTGATGTAGGGACCTTAGCTTGTAAACTCCTTGAGGGTAGGGACTGATGTGAATGTGCAACTATGCAAAGTGCTGCGCAAATTGTCGGCGCTCTATAAACACCTGTAATAAATAAATAAACCTTTACACATATTAATATTGTAAAAACCTTTACTGTCTTAAGTAAATAGAAATCCGTAAACACCTATTAAAATTCAATGAGGGAGAAACACTTGACGACAGCACGACCGAACTCGTATCCACCGAGTCTACATCCTAACTTCTTCTCTTTTGGCGGCTCTACAACTCTTCTTTTGGCTTCTCGGGAACGACGTCTTCAACTTTAATGTCTCCCCGTGTGTCATCTACGACGTCTTCAACTTTAATGTCTCCCCGTGTGTCATCTACGACGTCTTCGACTTTAATGTCTCCCCGTTGATCGTCTTTTAAATTTTCTAACAACTGTGTGTAAAATAAAAATAAATCCGAACCATGACTTTCTCTTATTTTGTTAAATCTACAAATTAAAATGTTTCATCTGTTCGCTAAGGGCAAAACAAAATGCCCATTGATCCTGCCAGAAACCCAGTGCTGTCATGTGCACTCTGCAGTGTTCTCTCCAGCAATGTTATATAAAAAGGTGTTACAGCTCACCTCTGCATCTGTGTTATATAGAAGAGAGGGGTGGGGTGTTCTGTAGTCCTGACACACTTCCTGTTCTAAGGTGACAATGCTGCCCCTTGAATGATACAGTACAGTAAGGGAGCGTTGTCACCCTAGGACAGGAAGTGTGTTACTGGCAGGATCACCAGCTGGGGGGAAAAAAAGGGAAAGCAGCTTGAAAACAATTAAGCTACCAGAGAGGTAGGCAACCTCTGCATTCCAGCTGTGTTGAAACTACAAATATTATCATGCCTCTGGGAGTCATGCAGCGCCTCATGGGACTTATAGTTCCCTAACAGCTGGAGTGCCGAGGTTGCCTACCTCTGAGCTACCACATCGTAGGCCTGGTAAGCTGCAACATATTACATTGGTGTTATTGGGTTTACACACAATACGGTTTTATTTTGGTCTGTGTGTATTACTTATTATACTCTTTTGGCATATATGACAATGATTCAAGCGGTGCCAGCTCAGGGCCCATTCACACCTTTGCATGCATTGCTTAAAGGCAGCACAATCACTTCAAATGGGCTCTCAGTGCACAGAAAAAATGTATCTGCACCACAGTGCACAGAGTATTCACAATGTCTGCGCTGTGGCCTGCTGTGGTGCAGGTGTGTAACCTTATATATGCTTTTGGGATACCATGCAGCATGAATGGCAATGCATCGGATTGCACATTTCAATAAGACAAAAGTGTGGCCCCATAGCGTGGGTTTCCAGGCAGGGCCGGATTTACTCTCTTTGCCACCCTAAGGCCAGGTTCCTCAATGCGACCCCCCTACCCGCCAAACCTCCCCCTTCAGACCCCCTTGGAGAATAGCAGACCTGCAGGCTGCATACATGCTTACAAAACAAGCGGTGGCTTCCTCGCTGTACATTTAGCTCTTCTTGCCCAAAGCAGGGCTAAATGTAGAAAACAACTACCCGCCCGGCACCCGAGAACTGCATGTCCCAGGCATCAAGAGATAGGAATTCTACACCCCTGCTGCCCTTCTACTCCCTGCTGCCCCAAGGCCAGGCTTGTTTGGCCTTGTGGGAAATCCGGCCAGTCGTTCTCAGAGTCATCTGTTTGACGGGTACAAAACTGAGCTTTCTAAAAGCTTCCAGACATCCATTCAATTCATAGGCACTTTTCAGAGAAATGATAGCTGGAGACCCAAGGTGAAATCACATCCATCCAGTCATCCGTCCATGTGGTGCTTGGCAGACGTGTTTACCCATAAGCTCTCAGATTTATCCATGAAGGATCAGATTGTGTATGAACCATGTCATGGCTTACCTAAATCATGTATACTAATGAGGAGATAAGCACCAACCTGTTCCTCTTCATCCACGGGTAGAACTCCTCCGCTATCGATAAACTTGGTAAATAGTTCCACTGTTCTATTTTTCGTGTACTCAATCATCTGTTTGGAATAAGGGGGCAGAGTGTGTTACTTAGGTGTGTACAATTGTTTCCACGTAAAATACATTTTATTAGATGAATGTAAGTATGCTAGCAATGCTCCAGGATCCACCAGAAGGAGAATCCACATACACCATGGGGCTTACGTATACACCTTTCACCCAGTGTACTGCTTGGGGAATGTCAATCACATGGTATTACCACCACAAGATGGTGCCGAGGAGCATAGACAACTGCTATTCTCCTCAACGCCATAGGCTGAAGGTTTTTGTTTAAACGTAGGTGGACACCCCTCTAAATGATTGAGTTCAGGTGTCTCCAGTAAAGTTTTTTGTTGATACTACGGCATACAAAGACATTTTAGACAATTGTGCCCTTCCAACCTTGTGGTATCAGTCTGGTGAAGGCCCTTTTCTGTTCCAGCATGACTGTGACCCTGTGCACAAAGCCAGCTTCATACAGACATGGTTTGATGATGTTTGATGTGGAGGAACTTAAGTGGCCTACATAGAGCCATGACTTCAACCCTACTGAGCACCTTTGGGATGAATTGGAATGCTGATTGTGAGCCAGGTCTTCTCATCCAACATCAGGACCTGACCTCACAAATGCTCCTTTGGCTAAATGGACACACATTCTCACAGAGACCCTCCAAAACCTTAAGGAAAGCCTTCTCAGAAGAATAGAAAATGTATTAGCCAACTGGCCAACTGGCCATAGTTCTGAATTGAGACGTCCAAGAAGCTCATATAGGTGTGATGGTCAGGCGCCCACCAACTTTTGGTCATAAAATGTATATGCATTTTATTAATGTCTCACCTTGCGCCCTGGTCCAGCAGGGAAAAACCTCAGGTTGGGGAATCCTCTCACCCTCATCCCGTCGATCTCATTGGCTGTGGCGTCCATTTTAGCAATGATGACATTCGGGTGATCTTTGTACTTTTCTCCCAGTTCCTCCCAGATCGGTTCCAGCTCTTTACAATGAGTGCACCAAGGGGCGTCTGAAGAACATAACCAGGGTAGGTTGATTAGAGGAGCAAAGCAATCATCAGTCTCCCTCGAGGATTCAGACCACCCAATCGTTTACAGACGATTCATTATATATTTTAAAGCAAAACTGAATCCAAAGTGGGTCCCCAGAGCTCTCGGCGTGGTTTGCCAGGATGCTGAAAGTACTTGGACATCATGGCAGACTTACCCTCTAGAGTGCCCTCCTCCACTGATTATGGGTCTACAGTCCTCCTCTTCACTCTGTCTTCTGCCATCTTCTTCTAGTTGTCTTCTCCACTCTGCCATTGGGTGTCCACTGATGATGTAACCCTTGCACATATGCGCTCAACTTAATTCAACCCAGAACCCAGTCGTATTTTCTGCATCGTGTGGTTAATAAGAGTGGGTTAGGAGTGTACACTGCACAGTGACCGCGCCGCCACCAACAGATCACATGACAGGGAAGCCCACGTAACGCCTGTAGCTGCATACTTCCCCTGAACCAGTGACCCAGGAAGCCGCTGGATTAGAATGACAGCCGGGCAAACTAGCATTTCCAGAAGGAGGTTAAACTCTGTCCAGAAGTTTCTCTCAGCACAGGTTTCCCTTAACCCCTATAGCAGGGGTAGGCAACCTCGGCACTCCAGCCACTGCGGAACTACAAGTCCCATGAAGCATTGCAAGACTGACAGCCACAGGTGTGACTCCCAGAGGTAGGCGCATTATGGGATTTGTAGTTTCAGCACAGTTGGAGTGCCAAGGTTGCCTACCCCAACCCTATAGTCAGCTATATCTGCTTTGTACCCACAAGCCGCTTCATTTCAGATAACAGAACCTCCAGCTTCTCTAATAAATGTATCCTGAGAAGCCAGTAAATGGGATCTTTGCTCTGCATTTTGAAGGAAATGTGTTACCATGATTCGTGTTAGACGCCGAGTATTGGGGGGAACATGCAACAAGGTCAGAAAGTTAAACTTAGAGCCTTTCAGGGGATATTGACCAGCAAATGCCTCGAGTGCGCCACCTCGTGTCCATGAGGAGTAATTGCAACATTATTTGTAACCGCAGAATAAAATAAAAAATTACCCCGAGGATATCACCGAGTAAGTTTGTAACCCCTTACCAAAGGAGAATTTCAATTTTATTTGCCGTAAGGCTTCCTACATACTTACAGAATTCTACAAACACGTTCTTGGTCTCGTCATAAGCAACTTCATCGAAGTTAGTGCCCACAAGGACCTTGACGGGTTTCTTGTCCCAGTCTTCGGGCAGCTCTTCGGTCAGGAGATTTTGCTGTGTTAAATGCAAAGTAAACAGTTTGATTATTCTACACGTGGGTTGTGCTGAGTGTCTATGCTTAGCCTAGCTCAGGGGTGGGCAATTCATTCTCTCAAGGAGTCACATGAGAAACTGGGACTGTTGTGGAGGGCCAACACATTACTGTGAAGGTGCATAGGCACACACGCACATAAGTAAATTGATTAAAAAAAAATCTGATGGGGGGCAACAAATGTAAGGGGGCACTCCAATGGATGCAACTTATAATTAGTTGTCCCCATCAGAGTGCCCCCTTACATCGGTTGTCCCCATCAGAGTGCCCCCTTACATCGGTTGTCCCCATCAGAGTGCCCCCTTACATCGGTTGTCCCCATCAGCATGCACCCCCTTGCATTGGTTGTTCCCATCAGAGTGCCCCCTTACATTATTTGTTCCCATCAGAGTGCCCCCCCCCCCAATTTTAGGAAAAATTGATTGTCCCCATCA